TGTGCCGCTCCATGTGCATTACTCAGTGTGAATAGCGGATACTCCTGGTGACCCTGCAGGTCTGAGGAGAACTGCCTCTGTGGGTCTCAGAGCCATCGGTCTCCATCAGAGCAGAGAGCCTCCTCTTTCTCCAGGGCAGCTTCTGGGGCTTTGAACTGCTACCCTAGTGGTTAGCAGTGCAACGCATAATCGACACCACCACCAGGGCCCCTGTGAGTGGGAATTGCCTGACTGGCAATGAGTGTGTAATACCTTACACGTGCTGGACGGGTGTGCAATGTGCACTGCCTGGCTGTTCGCTGGCACGGGGCCTCGGAAGGCCGTGATGGGTTTCAGCAGTTGAGAAAGCCCTTGACAGGCCAGTGTCTCTGGGCCGAGCTAGCCGCCTGTGGATTCGCAGCTTGGTTCCCCAGATCTGAGGGCAGGCTCAGACAGGGAGCCCAGGGAGCAGAGCGACAGGGAGGTGATCAGAGGGAGAAGTAAGGGGTCAAGAGTGAAAGTCTGGGGATGGTGGGCCCCTCAAACTAGCTTCCCTCCAGAGCGACCTTGAATGTGTCCGTGAAACACCCCATGTTATCAGAAGTCCTCATTCTGCCCAGCTGAGTAGGACATCAGTCAGGCCACCAGTGGGAGCCGCGGGCTGGCACCCAGCCAGAGCACCCAGCCCTAACACCCTCTTCCTTGTCCCTACCGACTGCGCTCAGCTAGAGCACCCAGCCCTAACACCCCTTCCCTTGTCCCCACAGGTGTCCTGAACCAAATGGCCAGCTCGGGGCTCGTGCTGCTCCCGTTGTCCTTCCAGGGCTGCATGCAGCAAATCCAGGTGGACGACCAGCTGGTGGACTTGTATGAGGTAGCCCAGAGGACGCCGGGCAGCTTCGCCAATGTCAGCATCGACATGTGTGCCATCATAGACAGGTAAGCGCCCTCGGCCCGGGCCCAGTGTGCATGGGTGTCCAAGTAAGGGCCGACACTTCCCACAGCATGTGCCCAGGGCATGTGTGCACTGTGGAAAGTGCCAGACATGTGTCGTCTGCAGGGGGGAGGGGGAGTCATGTATGAGGTGATACCAGTCTGCTGTGTGTCTCAGGTTGGGGTGGGCACATGGCACAGTCCCCGGTGCCTTCTTTGCCCTATCACCCCTCCACAAGCATGTGTGCCAGCAGCTCTGTCCGGACAGCTGAGCTGGAGGACACTGCAGGGAGTCAGACGTGCTGTGTCCCAGGGCCTCCCAAGGCCCCCAGCAGGGGTGGGGGGACTGAGAAATGGGCTTGAGTGGGTAGAGGGGAGCTGAAGACTAGGCGTGATTGGGTCGGTTGTAAAACGCATGTTTTGAATTAACACCCCACACGGTGGTGAGCCAGGCGTGCCAGTCTGGGACAGCGCTTGTCCCCCATGTGGTCAGGGACAAGTGTGTCCCCCCGAGAAGAGGCCACTCGAATGTGGAACCGTACTGTGGCCCCTTGGATGCCAGCAGGCAGCCTCCTTCTCAAACATGCTGTCCTTCCCAGGAGGGCGGCTTCAGCCGGAGATGGCGAGCTGTGCAGTGCGCTTACCCGCCCCACTCTGAGGACTGCCCGGGCAGGTCTGCCTCCTCCAGAAGTGCGCTGTACTAATTTTGCAATTCTGAAGATGGACATCCTTGAATTCTTTTCATGCTTTGAAAGAACGCCCCACTCCTGCCTCTGTCAGCACACCCTGTGGGCAGCAGGCTGACTCCCTGCAAAGAGCTCCCCGGGAAGCCGCCCCCAGGGGCACGCAGGCCCTTAGGAAGGCAAGAATGACCTGGGGAAAGGACATGGCCTGAGACGCAGGTGCTGTCCTGTGAGGTCTTGTGTGCCCGACTGGGCCCCAGTGCGGCACATGGACCTTAGGAGACACGATCCCTGAGGTACCACCCTGAGGCTGTTCCCGTGCCTTTGGGCCGCTTCCCCTCTGCCCTGATGTGCCCTGGCTCCGTGCTGGCATGGGGTCCCACCAACAGGGATGATGGTGTTGGCCCTGCTCCTGCCACCCAAACTCCTGTGATGGGCCTGTCTCGGTTTGCTCTTGCCAACTCCACCCTGCATGCCCAGAGCACAGTTTTCAGGAGAGGAGGTTGGTGAGCAAGGGAGAGGGAGAGTGGGCACCACCTGGTTTCCACAGGCACTTGTGGTTCGTGGGGTGGATGGGGGGCAGGCCCAGGGGGCCCATGAGTAGGATCAGGGAGCCTGCTGGGGTGCTCAGGGTGTTTCCAGGTCTACTGCAGTCGGTGCCCAGGAGGGAGCCAGGTCCTTCCATGGCACGTGAGGGAGCTGCCCCAGCTTTGCCCGGGCAGCAGCTGGCTGGGGTCTCAGTGCTTCTCCTGTCACCTGCAGGCAGCCGCTGTGGGGCACACCGGGGCTCTCTGGGGCTCTCTGGGTGAGAACACAAGGTCCAGTTGCCCCGCCCCACCTTCCTCCTCTGGACATGAGCGCCCCTGCTCCTGACTGGGCTTTCTCTGTCCCCCCGTGTCCTGTCATTTTCCCCCAGCTGTGTCCCCACACCCGCACCAACAGCTAGAACTCCCACCAAAGGGCTGGGGTTGTCCATTGGGGAGAGCAGGGCGGTGACAAACAGCAGGAAATGAAGCTTTCTGTCCTTTCCTTGAGTAAGGAAGTGCCAGAGGAGATCCCTCTCCTAGTAAAAGGAAGAGTGGCCTCCCCCACGGAGATTCAAAGGCTGCCCGCCGTCTTTGATGCGATGCTGTCTTGGGACAAAGGAAGAGGAGATTTGCTGTTGGCTTGGCGTCTATCTGCACCTTGACATTTCTGGCCCAGGGAAGGCCCTGAGCATTAAAGGGGTGTCGGAGGGCAGGCGCCTTTGGAGATAGGCAGCGAGGAAGACGTTAAACCCAGTCTGTGGGGGCCACGGGGCCACGGGAAGATGGAAAGGGGGTCGGGCTTCGTTTTTGGCCTTTGATGGTTAGATGACCTGTCAAACGTCATGCGAACAACAGCACTGATTCCAGGATGTATCCCAAACAAGACCACACTCCTCAGAGCAGTCCTTCACACGTGGCTGGACACGTGGCAGGATGGCAGAGTTGCTGCCTGAGAAAGCAAACCGCCCACCACCCGGAGGCAGCTCTGAGTCTTGGAGACCTACAGGAAGCAGGCGGCCCTGCCTTTCTGCCGCAGGGCAGCCGGGGGTTCACCCACCGAGCTTTCAGCCAGTAGCCCAGCACTCGACCACCAAAGCCCCTTGAGGGAACTGTAGCGCTCAGCTCAGGAGCCCTAAGGGGTGAAGCAAGGTTGGGGATCGACCCCACCCCCTTCACAGGGAGGGAGGGCTGGCCGACTGCTTTCCTCATGAGACATAGCCAGCAAGCCCTGCACACGGGGTGTGCCTGCGATGGAGCACATGTGCTGGACCTCCCCGAAACGCGCTCTGCAGAGTCCAAGTGGTGGACAGTGCCTTCCTCAGCCCTGCTCACCCCCAGATTAGTGCAAGACCCTCACTCTCTTCACCATTGCACCCACATGTGGACTCAGCTCTGGATGTGGGCGCCCGGGAGCAGAGAGCCGCTTGCAAGAGGCAGCCTTGCAGTCAGCTGCGGCCTGACGGACGCCCGGCACTGGAGCCTTGGACAGAGCAGCGGCAAGAACCCCTAAGGTTCACCCAGGGCAAGGCGAGGGTCGGGCTCAGGCGGGTCCGTCTGGCCAATGAGCCGAGGGCCAGGACAGAGCGTCCACAGTGGCCCAACTCACTGCCGCTGCCGCCACCTCCAGAGCCAAGCCTCCACAAGGTCTGCATGTCCACTGTAAGGCTAAAGGCACATGGCCAAGGGCTATGTCCTCCCTGACCCTGGCTTTGGTCAGTGCCTTCATGCCTCTGACCACGTTAGAGAAGTTGTCCCTGGATTCAGCACTCAGGGTTTACTGTGTTTGAGGAGACTTTGCATTTCAAACAAAGGGAGGGAGGGAGGGAGGGAGGGGGAGGACAGAGATGGAGAGAGAAGGACCAGCAGGCAGGAGCGGAGGGAGGAAGGAAGAGGACATGAGCCGCATTGCTCTGTGGCGGCAA